AAAGGCAGTAAGGAATCACCCAAAATTTGATGTGTTCCTATCCTACACTGGCTGCGTGGTTTATGGGGGATGTGAGTTGTCTAAACTCTTTCCCATATCGGTGCTCAATACTACTCGCAAAATGAGTAGAATTGCTCAAGTAAAAAATACTTTCTGAGTTAAGATAAGTTCTCAAAAGGCCTATTTAAGAGGTAGCTAATATGTACTGAATCTTTCTGAAAACTCTTTATACTATTTATGAAGTAGAACTCTCTTTCGACTTAATAATGATGATTTTGAAACCGTTCTATGAAAATAGTGATTTAAACTTTCTCTTAAACTCACTCCAAATTTTCAAAATCATTGTAAGGAAAATACTGTCTTGAAAACTTTTAGTAGAAACTCAGTAATTAAGGTTCATATGAAAACAAGTGTAACACCTCAGAAAATGGTAAGTCGAATTGGATTGAAATAGTGTCATTTTTGGCACTGGGGTAAGTTCCTACCATAGAAATCTCACGTAAAGTATGGAGAAATCAATGATTGTATTGATAATTAAATTATTGAATTACATGCTCCTTATATAGGAGAAGAGTCTTTTACTAGCTATACTAGGTTTCCTACTACAACACAAATATATTATTTACATGAGTAGTATTACTACTATAACTCAAATACCTTATTCTTGTCGACTTTTGCCTCATACATGATACATCAGCTTAGTCGTACATAAATTATGATTTAGTAGTCTAGTCTTAGTGTGACTCTAACTCTAACTCATCAGTCAGTTTCATTGAACCTGTTCCATCAACTTTCTTCAACACTTTCTCTCAAGCTAGTGAGTGGAGGAATTGTAACTCCTAGCTTGCTGCGGAACCCAATAAAAACCTATTTTGTTAATGCTTTGGTATGAATATCAACTAGTTGATCCTTAGACCTCACAAGCTGAGTAAGAAGTTGTCCTCTAGCCACCTTCTCACAAACAAAATGATAGTCCATTTCTACATGTTTGGTTCTAACATGCATAACTGGATTAACAGACATGTACAAGGCACTCATATTATCACAATACAATGTAGGAACAGTTCAAAGTAACACCCAAGGTCATGAAGTAGATACATGATCCATGTCATCTCTGTTGCAGTGGAGGCTACTGCTCTATTCTCAGCTTCAACACTCGATCGGGCTATTATGGTCGGTTTCTTGGAAGTCCAAGAAATACAATTTGCACCTAGGTAGATACTATATCTTGTAGTTGATCTCTTAGTGGTGGTACAACCCCCTCAATCAGCATCTGTGTATCCATACAACCTACATGGTAATTGTGAAATAGTTCTGAGTCCAAAGTGGAGAGTACCATTGATGTATTTGAGAATCATTTTCACCCTTTTAAGATGTTCAATGTTTGGACTTTTCATAAAATGGCTTGCTAAATTCACATCATGATTGATATCAGGTCTAGTGAGTATCAAGTATTAAAGACTCCCTACTATCATTCTGTAAAAGGATGCATCGACCAGGCTTCCCACAACTTTATGTAAACCATGCTTTTGAGCTAAAAGAGTGGCTACAACTTTTGCCAAAATCATCTGTCTTGTCTAGCAGCTCAGCAACATACTTACTCTGACTTAAGTGAATACCCCATCAAAATACTTAACCTCTACTCAAGTGTAAAGGGCCAAGATCCTTTATAGCAAATTCTTTTCCAAGTTGTATAACCAACTCTGAGACATGTGTTGGATTACTTCATGTGACAATAATATCATCCACATATAACAAGAGAAATATAGTGCCTTTGTGAGTTTTCAATGCAAACAATGAGGGCTCTGCCTTACTACAGATGAAAACAAGATGCAGGAGATGCATGCTAAACCTATCAAACCAGGCTCTTGGTGCTTGTTTAAGACCATACAATGCCTTTTTAAGTAGACACACATGCTGAGGATACTTGGGATCAATACATCCAGTAGGTTGACTCATGTACACCTCCTCTTGTAGGAAACCATGGAGAAAAGAATTTTTGACATTTAGTTGTCTAACTTCCCACTTTGAGCTGAGAACAATGGATAGAACCACCCTAATAGTTGTGGCTTTAACCACAGGTCTAAATTTTTCTTCACAATCTATCCCTTCAAGCTGCGAGAATCCCCTGCCCACAAGTCTGGCCTTGTATCTCTCTATTGTTCCATGAGCTTTTAATTTGTCTTGAACACCCATTTTGAGCCAACCAAATTTATATCAGGAGATTTGGGCACCAATATCCATGTCTTGTTAGTATGTAAAACATTGATTCCCTTCTGCATTGTTGCAAGCCAATGAGGTGACCTGAGTGCTTCCTTAGTAGTATTTGGTTCCCACAAAATTTCTTTGTTGCTGCGAGCAACAAGTGATAAGTGATGTTCCCTTGCCTTGTGTCCAGTGATCTTATGATGCCCTTGTGGTGTAGGAAGTACCTCAACTGATACATCAACTAAATTAGTTGATTGGAGTGTAGTATCATCAGGATGGTCAACTAGTACATCAGCTAAAGTAGTTGATTGAGGTGTAATATCTTTAGGTTGATGATGCTCATTGACTGGACCTGTAAGTTTAACATGTTCCTCACTGCCACTAGCGGATTCAGAATCTGCAGCTGGAGTCTCAATACTACTGTATGGATCAGTCCAAAGTCTTATCCTTGTGTGTTCATAGGTTACACCAGCTTACACAAAGGATTTAGATGTTATCATCTCTCTACAATGAGGGTTTACATATCCAGTGTTGGATGAAAATACATTATGTCTAATTTATGTATTATGACCCTTTGAAGCCAAGTTAAGGGTCATATTTATGTATTATGTCTAATTTATAATACTTAAACTACTATTTTATAACTAAAAAACAAATATTTTTAAAATATGTATACAATTATCTTTTGGGAAACTTTAAAAAATGACTATAGTTTAGACTTAATTAGAGATCTATAACTATAGTTTGCTTAATTACGAATTATGGCCACAAGTTTGGGGGCGGAGTGATGTGAGTGAGACTTGAAAAGGGAAGAGAGAAGCGAGCGAGATTTGAGAGAGAGGCAAAAGAGGTATATGAATAATGGATAAACAAATTTTAATATAAGCTAATAAAAATCATTAGGTCATGAATAAGTTATTTATTTGAAAAAAAACAGAATAACAAAATACATATAATTTTATTTATTGTCTAGTGTTTTAATGAAATACAAAAAGTTGGACTTGGCTCCTCTCTAATGGTCAATTCCGTCTTGAATTTCTTACGCGTGTCCCTTTTTAAATATGAGGGACAAGATTCATTTAGTTAACTAAAAGCTTAAATCCAAGGTTAATATATATTCATGTTTTGTACGTGTGTCATGTTAATTAATAATAAATGTATATGTAAAAAAAATTATTTTATGTACGTTATATTATTAAGTACAAAAACTTTTTAAAAATAATGTAAACTTTTGTTCCTTTTCTTATTTTACGTATGTTCCTTCATCAGATAAAATTTTGTATTACGCTAGGAGGATCGTAAAAATATATGTACTTCGAAAATATTCTAATCCTATCGAATATCAATAAATTGACGATAAAAAAATAATGAAATTACGTACTTTGAAAAAATTATAAGAGAATTCCACAAATACAATGTATGATTATAAATAATACTAATTTATACATATTGCATAATCTACCTCTATATATTGGTCAATAAATTAGCAATGTAAAATGAATTTAGTTAGAGCTACACACGATAATATGTTGTCCATCTTAGTACACTCTTGCTCATCTCTTTCGAATCTAAAAAATTAAGCATACACGAACGCTTAGAATACGTATAATTGAACTAAAATCATGAGCACCTTGTTGAAATCGAAACAACAAGACATCAAGCGTTAGTTAATAAAGAAATATTTGAACGATGAAAATAAAGTTACATTATAAAAATACTCATAATATTAAATTGACTTGATCAATAGACCTACGTATAACTTATATAAAAATGAAGTAAATTAAAAATATTTGGAGAATAATATCCCTCTCAACAAGACTTCATTTGAAGATTACATTGTAAATGTTATTGGATTGTGGTGAAAGGAATGATTTTAATGAACGACAAAAAGTTCAATCAATATTTCTAAGGACCTTAATGTTTTTAATATTATATAGATAGTATATATTTCTAAGGACCTTCATGTTTTCAATATTTCTATTTTTCACTATCTGAATCAAATCTTGTTGCATTTTTTTACATTATAAGTGTGAATCAAAGCCATACATTTTTAGCATATTCTTTTTAAAAAATTGTTGTTGCAGAATGATTATTTACTAATTGGATTGAAAGTGGATAAACTTGTACCATCTTCACGCCCACAAGGTCAGAAACAAAGATGGGAAAACCCCTAGGCAATTGTTCACATAAAAGCACAAGCTATTACTAAGTTGATGAAGAACACTGCAAATTCTTGTATGATTGTTACAACTTTGATTGCCACGATGGTGTTTGTTGCTGGCTTCACTGTGCCAGGCGATAATAACGGTGTTGATGGTATTCCAATATTATTTCAATAGATTTATGGTCTTTGTCATATGAAATGCAGTAGCACTATTCAGCTCAATCGTTTCCATCATTATGTTCTTGTCCATTCCCACATCTCACCATGCTGAAGATGATTTTCTTGTGTCATTGCCTGCCAAGTTATTGTTTGGACTCACGATGTTGCTTGTCTCGATACTTTAGCATGCTCTTGGCTTTTGCAACAACCTTCTTTTTAGTCTATTGATCATACAGATTGGGAGCCAAAGCTCATTGCTGCTTGTGTTGGTGTTTCTGTAGCTTTTTAAAGAGTCAAGAGTAACAAATCCTTTCTATACAGGAGTTGGGAATGCTATAATCACAAAACATTCCTATGCATCCATGTACCTAAAAACAAGTAATTGACAACCTAGTGTCTACATGCGGATGAACAACAATAGCCTACCGTGCTTCTTGCTTTCCAATAGTTTATACGTCTCTAAATGCCGCAAAAGGTCGCACGGGAAGGGTAGTACTCGTAAGCTGTTGTATATCATTTCAAGAATTCAGACAAGGTCGATCAACCTGCGCTTGAACTAGGGACAGGAAAAAGAAAGTAAAGTAAGCTTCAATCAGATAAAGTACATAAAAGTAACAATTTTGCAAGGAAATTTTCAATTTCAAGTTACTGGATTGATGCAGCAGTACACTTGTTAGTCTTTCACATTTGTAGGGCGAGTGCTCAACTTGGTCTTTATTTCCATTTACATTTCTCTTACCGTTATTTCAGACTTCTCAAACTTCAGGTGAAGGCATATCAAACGAGAAAACAAGGAACTTCTATCTAGTTTAACAAAACTAAATAGTCGTCTCTTTAAGTTTTTGACATTCCCAAAACCTCTCTCTTTCTGACTATTCAACCCAACGGGGACTGGTGCAGGGAAGACTGGGCTGAAAGGGAGGAAGAGAGGCCTGGGCGGAGCTTGGTTAGGAGAGTGCAACATGTCAAGTTAGGGGAGGAGAGTGTGTGTGGTTAGAAAACTGCTTCTTAAGGGAAACAAATTTAGAGGGTAAAGTGGGAACAAACAAGCACTTTGTTGACATAATGTGATTTAGCGGTACCATAAAAAGGAATTGTATGGGAGGTCCCTCTGAAACCTACTGGAACTATGAAGTTTCAATATTTTTCAAATAAAGAATAGAGGTACATTCAGTATCGTTAAACTAGAATATGTTTTTCAAATAAAAAGGGAGGTCCATTCTGTATAGTTAAACTAGAATTGAGATACTAGTAGTACTGCCAAATATGACCTTCCAGGCACATTAGAAACTATCAATTATCATCAATTCAAACTGATGGATTCTATGACAAATCACTTTGAACAACGAAATTTCCACCTTAAAGGACTACTCTCTCTCCTTATCTAAAAGAAGAAAAAAAAGAACAGGAATGCTCTTTCTAAGATCTGCCTAATTATCAGATGTTCAAATTCTTCATGTCCCTAATGCCCCCTGCAAAAGGTACAAATATTGTGCAAGGCAATTTCAAGTTCTACTAGAGAAGCAGCAGTTTACCATTGTATCTTAAGATTCTTTCAGATAACATTAAGTCCGGAACCATGTAAAGCTAAATGAAACCAGTTTCTTGCAGCTACTAGTGTCAACTGTGCCTCAATAAGTTGAGGTCAGTTATACGAATCATCTATATCTATTGTCTTCTATTCTAACACATAATATTCCAATACTCAATAAATTAAAGTGTTTTTAAATCCTACATTTGTCCTTATGCTAACATAAGAATCTCAAAACTTAGTGAAGACACTTCTGCCAAACACGAGGCTTAATGTAAGTGTCAACCACAACGACTTGGCACTATTCCCGACATTGTCATTGCCTATATATCCTTTGTGACCAATTATATATTGCTCTCACCTAAGTTCGCATAAAGTGAGCATAGCATCCTAGAGATTTAACAATTGTATCACTTGGGGGCATTTGGCATTATTATATGCGTTTGATTAGTCTTACATGACAATATCTGATATAATGATTACTTGTATTGTGTGTTGTACAAGCCAATTGATTTAGTTGATACTGTTATACCGTTTGTGAGGACCATGTATGTTGGTCTAATAAATCCCGAGTATCCATAAGGGGCCATGTGGTTCGGTTTAATAGATTATTTGGAATACACACGGCCCATAGATTAAAATAATCAGTCTAAAGAGCTTGACCCCGAGGGCCTACGGTTGAATATATGCTGCGATTGACTTGTACCTACTTGATGTTTCATTAAAGTACTGGAAAATATATATTTTTATGTTGTTGCTTCCATGCATTATTTTACAGATTGCTCTATGAGGTATATGACAGAGGGTTGATGGTCTTGATGGGCTTTAGGCTCACCCTTGTTAATTTTATGTTCTCTGTAGATCCTTCCACTTGTTCGATTATTGGTCAATTGTGATAATGTGATAAATATTGGAGAAGAATATTATTGAATTGTGTCTCTACATTATTCATTGAGACCCTATTTATAGATACTATACAAGACTCCTTTTCCAACTAGGACACTAAATTACAGTCATTTTTCAAGTAGGATTCTATATACTATTCATATTCCTACTCTTATTCTAACACTCCCCCTCAAGTTGGTGCATACATGTCATATGTACTGAGCTTGTTAGAGATGCAATTAATACGAGGAGCAGTGAGGAACTTGGTAAAGATATTTGTAAGAAAACTGCCAAGGACTGCTTTGGACGTGTGGGCGATCTCAGTTGAAAGGGAACAAACTGAAAAATTGTCGGAAACTGGTTTAAAATATATGGGTCATCTCGAAATCAAGAGACCAGCAGATTTTGAACAAGAAAGCCATCAAAAAACAGGCCAGAACAGGCTCACGCACCGGAGCGTGGTCAGATCTCGTCAAAGGTGATGATCTCCTCGGCGGCGCGTGGGACGATCCACTGCGAAGCCGGTTGTGGTTTGGTCACAGGGAGACACTTTACCTCTAGGAGGTGTTGGTTTATGCACACACTTACGAAAAGTGAAATTACGTAATTCATATCTGAGGAGTCACCGAAAAGACGCATGGTGCTACTGAACACTGATTTGAGAAAGTAGTACGCAAAGATGCACGGTGCTACACAAATCAGATATGAGAAAGTAGTCACCGGAAAGATGCACAACGCTACACAAATCAGATATGAGAAAGTAGTCACCAGAAAGATACACGGTGCTACACAGATCAGATATGAGAAAGTAGTCACCAAAAAGATACGCGATGTTATGCAAATCGAAGATGAGAAAGTAGTCACCGAAAAAATGCACGGTGATACACAAATCGAATAATGAATGGTGCTACATAAATTAGATCTAAAACGCCACCGGAAAGAAGCACGGTGCTACTTTCTGTCCGAGATGCTTCTCAAAAATCAGTCCTTCTCAGCATGATTATTTTTCATGCATATAGTATTGCCCCAACTTTTGCTAACATAATTATTGGCCATACGGGCAGCTATATGAGTTATAACCACCCGCCGACTACGGGTGCTCTTTTTTATTCTCTACCAGGATCGTAGAGGCTTTGATACCATATAAGAAATATTGGAGAAAAATATTATTGAATTGTCTCTACATTATTATATTGAGACCCTATTTATAGACACTACATTAGACTCATTTTTCAACGAGGACACTACATTCCAATCCTTTTCCAAGTAGAATTCTATATACTATTCTTGTTCCTACTACTATTCCAACAGATAGTGCTCAAGACCTTATCAGAGTTCACTTAAGGTGAGAATCCACAACAGCCATGTTGGCACTTCAAGCTAGTTATTTCATTTTGTTTACTTTCCTGTTGTAACCAAGGCTATGTAATCTGAGTCTAAGCAGCGCTCCTTGACTGTTGATTTTAAGATATCAATGACTTAAACTTGTACTTTTGGATCTACTCAGCTTTTCATCAGAATTATTAGACTTTATTACTTTGCATTTCAAATATTCTGCTCAACTTTGAAAATGAGTTGTGGTGGCAAAGGACGTAGTGGTTCTTAAGGTGCCATTCGTAGCCACCAGATTTGGATCTTGAGAAACTTGGTATTAGTGTTTAGGCTTTAGATTCTTGTGAGTTAAGGAGCAGTGTACTAGTAGACTCTTATTTATAGATATGTTGTTGACAATATCTATAAACACCTTCTTCCTTCCTTTTGTCTCATGCGATAGATTTTGAAGTAAGCTCTAATCCTTGAATGTCTTTATGACATATGGTGAATACGAGATAGTCCCTGTAGGATCAAATGAGGAACCACCAGTGCAGGCTATGCCTAGGGCAAGTAAGCTCGACTACTCAGATTACTCAACCTAGAACCACAACTGCTAAGGTTACCGGAGGTAGGCCCCCAACTGTTGGGTGAGCTAGACCAATGCAGCTTTTGATACTTAAGGCACAGGATATTCCCGTACAGATCACAGTTCTTAGTCCTACCATTACTCTTCCAGTTAATGTAGTATGTGAGAGTGAGACCCATGTTGCTCAGACTCTTTACAAATGTCGGTGGGCGCGTGTCGAATCCTCCAAAAATAATGCATTTCTAAAGGATCTGACACAGGTGCAGCAATATTTTTGGAGTGACCCAGCAACATAGTGTGAGAATATTGAACGTTTTGGAATCTTATTCTCCTAGACCAATTGAGCTGCCAGTGCCACCAGCTGTTACATGCTACTATTGGTGCTCAGAGTCCTACTGTTATTCCTTAGAACAGTAGCCTAACACCCTAACCTAGCAACTGAGACTGCAATCCTTGTTCCTATTATGGCTTCCCAACCTATGATACTGATGGGTAGAGCGGGGCCTTCTACTATTGTTGGAGATGATATGGTGAGGAAGATGGAGTCTTTCTGAAATTCTTCCTCCCAGAGTTTGATAACACTTCAGCCAATACTACGGCTCAGAAGTTCATAAAGAAGTGTAAGAAGATACCTTTTACCATGGGTATTAGAGACACACATGGAATAGCCTGTACTACTTTTCCACTATTTGGTATAGCTGAGTCTTGGTGGGTCTCCTATCAGAGGGGCAGGCCAGCTGGATCTCCACAGCTCACTTGGAGTGAGTTTTTGGCCTTGTTCATGGAGAAGTTCATTCCCTAGAGTTAGCGTGATAAGAGGTAGTGCTAGTTTGAGCAAATAGAGCAAGGAGCTATGACTATGGTTGAGTATGATGTTATTTTAACTAATTTGTCTCACTATACACTTGATCCCTACTTGCTGATGAGTTACGTTACTGTATCCGAGTTATGTTAGTGATTGAAAGCCACAATAGTACATATGTAGATGCTGGGGATGTTGCCACCCGAGTAGATGCAATGTAGACTCATGAGGATGCTGAGAGAAATAGGAAGAGGGCTCGTCATCTTGTACCTACTAAGAGTACTCTAAATGAGGACAGGGGTGGTCATAGTCAAGGCTTCTAGATCAGTCCAGTTAGCTGCACTTCCTCTTTGAGCACTCCAGCTCATCAGGGGCAATAACAGCATTAGAGAAGTGGTGGTTCATCAACCTACACTTGCAGGTCCTGTAGCAAGGTACATTATGGCCAATGTAAGAAGATGGGAGGCAAAGAGTATTTTACTTGCAGTGGGTTGAGACTTTATGCTAGATATTGCTCGGGGGGTGATACAGCTAAGACTTCAACAAGACCACATGGTTCTTAAGCAACTGTTCGGACCCAGTTCAGTTAGCCAGGACTATTACGCTACTCATGTATTAGCAGATAGGGAGCTCAGGAAGAGGAGACCTCCCCAGTGTTTAGATAGGTCAAACAAGATGCAGATGCATCCAATGCAGTGGTTACAGGTATACTTTCCATATGTTCTCATGATACTTTCGCACTTATAGGTACGGGATCTACTTATTTGAATACAACATCATACCCCATGTAATCCCACACGTGGGGCATGGGGATTTACTTATTCATATGTATCACTATATTTTGCTTCGTACTTGGGTAGAGATCTTCTTATACTTGATGTTCCATTTGCTGTCTTGACCCCAATGGGGGAGTCCATTAGAGTGGACAGGGTCTATCGCAATTGTGCAATTTCCATTGAGAGGGTAAACAATGCATTCGATCTTATGATCCTAGAGATGATGTAACAGACTAATCAAGGGAAAACAGATGTTAAACTAAAATAAGTCAAAAGCAATAATTGGGGCAACCCCAACTTATTGGTTTTGGCTTAAAAGCACTTAACTTAAAAGGTACTCTGAAATTTGTCAAACACTCTAAAATGCTGAAAAAAACTTGAAAGCAGTTTTTTTTTTTTTTTTTTTTTTTTTTTTTTTTTGAGAAGGTAACATTTGTATTTCTATTTCCAAAAAATCAAAACCTGCCACAACATGTTACAGATTCCTAATTACAGATTAAAGAGAGTATAACAGAAGATCTTCAATCCTATGACAAAATTTACAAAAATTACAGGGATCCTAAGACATTCATAACTGATTCTAGATCTTCCATATACTCCTGTTTACACCAAAAATGAAACAACACAAGACAATTCATCTTCATCTTCTGAATAGTGTTGCTCTTGTTCTGATGACATCTAAGGTTCCTTTCTTTCCACGTTGACCACCAAATACAAGCTGGGATGATTTTCCATCTCTCCCTATGTCCTGAGATGTTGGCATAACTACTCCATATCTTCAGGGTTTGGGTTACTCTCCTTGGCATCACCCATTTCAGTTCTTTTTTATTGATGAAGAGGTCCCACAGTTGGTTGGTTATCCTACAGTGAAGAAACAGGTGAGTCACCGTCTCAGCCTTTTCCCCACATAGGAAACATCTAGGGCTCAATTGGATACCCCTCTTCATGAGATTTTCCTGAGTCAAAACAGCCTGTTTAGCAAGTAGCCAAGTAAAACAAGACACTTTGTAGGGAATTTTGGCTTTCCAAATCATTTTCCAGGGTCACCCATTAATCTGGGTATTGAAAGGGTTGAACTTTTTGTAAGCCCCCTTGACACTGAATCTTCCTTGCTTGTGATCCTTCCATTCCAGGCAGTCTTGGACAGTGTTTCCTCCTCTGAATTGTTCCAGAGTTCTGTAGAATTCTACTACTCTCTGGATCTCCCAATCATTGAAGGGTCTTCTAAAGCTCAGATTCCATCCTTGGTTTGACCAAACCTCTGCCACAGTAGCCCTCTGTTGTTGGTTGAGGATGAACACATCAGGGAAGAGTGTTTTTAAGGGACCTTGTTCCAGCCAGCTATCTTCCCAAAATGAGACCTTCACACCATTTCCAATTTTGATTTTGCAATTCCCTCTAAGTTTTGGCCATAGGTTCCTTATGGTTCTCCAAAGGCTAGTTCCATAAGTGTTGGTCACCATGCTAGTTGACCAAAGAGAATAAAGATCACCCTTAGCATCCTGAGTTGTTCTTTATTGGCATCACAAAATATGAGAGTATCATCTGCGTATTGTAAATGGGTGATCTCCAGTTCGCACCCCACTCTGTTTGATATTTTGAATCCCTTTAACCAAAGGTTCTCTCGAGCAGTTTTCAGCATATCACTTAGCCCTTCCATTGCAATGATGAATAGAAAAGGTGATAGAGGGTCACCTTGCCTTAGGCCTCTTTGAGCAGAGAAGAAGCCTGTAGGTGAGCCATTGATAAGAACTGAGTATTTGACAGTTTGAATGCAACATTTCATCCATCTTAGCCATCTACCACCAAAACCTCTTTTATCAAGAGTTTCCCACAAAAACTGCCAATTTAAGTGATCATATGCCTTCTGTATGTCCAACTTGCAGAGAATTCCTGGAGCATTGCTTCTGGTTCTAGAATCCACACACTCGTTTGCCATGAGGATGGCATCCATTATTTGCCTACCTTTAATGAAGGCCAACTGTTGAGTGTCCACTAGTTTATGCATCACCTTTTTGAGTCTCTCAGTAAGAAGCTTAGAAATGATCTTGTAAACACTACCAATTAGGCTGATTGGTCTGAAGTCAGTAAGTTCCTTTGCACCTATCTTTTTGGGAATCAAGGCAACATAAGTTGAGTTGAAGCTTTTCTCAAAAACACATCTCTCATGGAAATTCTTAACATCATTGATAACTTCTCCTCCTATGACTTCCCAACAGTGCGTAAAGAAAGCCATGGTATAACCATCAAGCCCAGGTGCCTTGTCTCCGGCACAAAGCTTTACACTCTCCCATATCTCTTGGTCCTCGAATTCCTTTTGAAGCATAAGATTATCTTCTTCAGAAATTATTTGTCCTCCCCTGCAATTGCCTGAGGGTCTCCAGGTCTCAGTTTCAGTGTACAATTCCCGATAGAAATCCACTATCGCTTTCTTTATAACTTCAGGACTCTTGACTGCTTCCCCATTCACATTTAACTCATCAATAGAGTTATACCTTTTGTGTGCATTGGCAGTTCTATGGAAGAATTTAGTGTTATTGTCACCTTGCTTCAACCAATTAACCCTTGACCTTTGTCTCCATGATATCTCCTCATACTTGGCAATGTTCTCGAACTCTAGGAGAAGTTCAGCCTTTGAGTGTATCTCCTCCACATTGAGAATTCTCTGGTCCTGTGTTTCCTCAAGTTCAGCAAGTTGACTGAGAATACTCTGTTTTTGCAAGGTTAGATTACCCTGACCAGACTTGCTCCAGTCCCTTAGTTTGTTTTTTAAAGCCTTTAGTTTGAAAGCTAGAATAAAGTCAGGTCTTCCTTCACATGTCAAGGAAGTCCACCACTCCTTGACCCTTTCCAAGAAACCCTCTGTGTGTAACCACCAATTTTCGAATTTGAAGTAAGATTTCGCAGGCTCCCAGTTCCCACATTGCAACATAATCGGAGTGTGATCAGATGTTACTTTCGGTAGAACTGATTGCTTAATGTTTTTGAAGCCTTCATCCCATTCATTAGACACTAGGAATCTGTCTAATCTAGCTGCAACATCATGTCTGTCCCCTTTCCTCCAAGTATATTTACCACCTGCTAGTTGAGGGTCCAGCAGATTCAGGTCCATAATGAATTCAGAAAAATCGTTCATTGCTTTTGATATTCTGCCACAGTTCTTCTTCTCTGAAGGATATCTAACTGTGTTAAAGTCTCCACAAACCACCCAGGGCCCATTGACCAGACCTCTCGCTGATCCAACCTCCCACCAGACTTCTTCTCTTTCTTCTCTATTGTTAGGAGCATAGACACCGGTCAGGAGCCAGGTGAATTCTTGATTCTTGCCTGTAAACTGGCATGATATAGAATAGGCTCCTACACTGCTGATAGCTCCCTCCCAGACTTTCCCATCCCATAGAATTAGAATGCCCCCTCTAGTCCCACTAGCTTCAAGTTGGCAGAACTTTACTCCTCTATTAGCCCACAAATCTTTTACAATGTTACTGATATCCCCCTCAATCTTAGTTTCTTGGAAGCAATACACATCTGCTTTCCATTCATGAATTAGATTCTTGATAACACACCTCTTGTTTGCCTGGTTAAGGCCTCTCACATTCCATGTGATTATCTTCACTGTCATTGGGAACTTGGAGCGGTATATCCCCCTTTGCTTCTTGTGCCATTGCTTCTGAAATTGCTTCCACACTCTAAGCTTTTCAATTCTTTAGACCCTTTTATTATTGGTGTTGCTTTACTGGTGTTTGCCCCGTTATCTTTGTTGATTTTCCTCATACCGTCAATCTTCATGAATAATGATAAAGCTTCATCTTTACACCCCTTGATGTCCACTCCAAATTCCTTGGCCAGTTTGTTTATGTTCTGATGGATCCAGATAGGGACGTCAAATTCTGGATCATCCCCTTCTTCTGGGCTGAGTTGATTTAGCGGCACGGCTTCTTCAAACGGAATCAAACTGGTACTGACTACTTCAGTGCTTTGAGGGTTGCTTCCTTGTATGCATGTGCTGGCCTGCTGCCAGAGAATCTCAGAGGTATCTACAATATTCCCCATCGCTGTTTCTGGTCCTCTCTTCTCCTTCAAAATTTCTACCTCTCTCAAAGATAACCCTTGCGCTGTTACGAGCTCTTCTGCCTGATGAGGAGTAGTGGAGGAAGAGGTAATTAAGTTAGCCTCTAATTCCACCACAAATGGGTCCAACAAAAGAGAACTCTCAAGGGTTACCTGTCAACTTCAATTTTTGTTTGGACCTTATCCTAAGTTTCATCTACCAGAAGAATCATGTATGGGATAACATTTGCCACATAATGCTACCCCCCCCCCCCCTTCCCTTTTTCATGTGGTGATAGTGTGTTTATAAATGAACATGGATTTCAGCATGACATAAGAAGTTACAAAATATTTTTATCAAGAGGAATTAAAAAAGAACTTGAGAGACTTGTCCCAAATCAAGACTTATAGTGCAAAGTAAAAAGAACATATTAAAAAGTCCGGAATCAACTTACATTGGTACTTTCAATTTCTTTTAGAAATTTCTCTGGATAGTCAATATAGTTGGCGCATTCATTCTTTACTCTAACCACAAGCTCTTTCTCTTCAGCCTTTTCAAGGTTCCTTATCAAAATACTCATAGTCAACTTATCTGGGCAGAATCCAGATATCTTCATCAGTTTATACATTTCCATTGCCTTCTCTATGAGATCTACTCTAAAGTACGCCCCAATCAGCTCAGTATAGGTTCTGCTATCTGGTTGCAGACCTTCTTTTATCATGTGCACAAATAGTTGTTCAGCCATTTCAATGAACTTGTTTTTTCCCAGCATCATTATCATACTGTTGAACAGAGATAAATCTGGCGTGTACCACTCCTCGTTCCTGACAAAGTTGAACACCTGAGGTTTCGGATAAAATGCACATTTAAGATAAAATGAAGAGAAGTATTAAGGGGAAAGGAAGTCATTCTGGAAGATCTGTGAATCCCTCCAACTTATATTAAAACTCTCCAAGGTCCGCCTCGTGCTGATCCAAGTCGAAAGAGATAAATTGAACAAGTATGGTCATCCCTTGTTAGGATGTACTATTAAACTTAAATTGGGGTTATTGCTAAAGTTGTTTCCCGGTGGACTAAGTTTTCATGATAGGCAGGAAGAGTAAACACCACTGGAAAGAAAGAGCTATATATTGGTCCCTTTGTCCATATCGAAGTATGGAATTTTGAAGATACAATCAGTCTAGTCTGTATCTTCAAAGTTCAAATATATAGGGTCAGTGTGTTTGGTATGGAGGAAAACATGTTCCGGAAAATGTTTTGCAATTTTCCTTTGTTTGGTTGATCAAAATGCTTGGAAAACATTTTCTCTACGAAAACAAACTCCTTAAAAATTAGGAATATGACTTCCCTAATGAAAGTAGGAAAGTAAGTTGCATAAGTGACATTCCAAGTTTATCGTCTCCTTCCCACCCACCCCATGATCCTCCCCCCACCTGAACCCCCACTCCCCATCCCTATCCGCCTCCCTGACGTTTTGCTAAATAACACGGAATAATATTTTTTTAACATTACCAAACATTAGAAAATAAGTAAGAGACCACTTATTTTCCAAGAAAACATTTTCGAGGACATACCAAACACACCCAAACGGTTTGTCTCCATCATGATCACATTTGAAGTTGGGTTGTGTTAAAGTTCGAATTCTAGACACAACAAATTGAGAAGTAATTCTATCTACTACACTTCACTGTACTTAAACAGCCATAAACTTCAAATGAGACGCCTTTAGGCACGTTACACTACTTTTTGCAATTTATGCTACTTGTTCAATCAAACTCTAAAAAAAATTGAGTGAGAAGAGCAGAAAAGAGAAGTTGAAAAATACCTTTAGAGCCAAGTGAACTTCATTTTGCCTTTGCAATTCATTCAAAGTGTCTAATACATCAGCCTTCAATAACCTACCAAGTTTGTTTTTCAACATCTCCTCTAATTTGTCAGCTGATTTTGCTAATTTCACAGACTGTACAGCTTGTATTGCCTCTGAGGACAAAACCCTTGACCTCCACATAGGTTTTCTTGGTCCATTTCTCAACCCACACACAGTTTTCTCAATTTTCTTTGAAAAAAAACTATTGAGTTGTCTTCTTGAAATTTGAACTTCTTTCAGAAACCCCATTTCACACAATTGAATTCCAAAGGAACCCATTAAGGGTGAACGATAACTCCAGGAACTGTTGAGCTTTACTTAGATGTTAATATCGTTGAAATTTCGCAATTTTTTGAATTCTTGAAAACTCCAAACGGAACTCTTGCATACCTACTCACCCGGCCCCAAAAAAAAAGGAGAAGAATTACACGTTTTTTCATCAAATCAAATAACAAAGGATATCATATGACCCTTTGGGTCTTTTGGATCCTTTGACCATAAAAGTATTTATTTTACTTGGAAAAAGTATAAATATACTTTAACTATCATAAATGGTATGTCTACCTTACATTATACTTTAAGGTTATAAGGACATTTTTACACAAATTACATAGTGTAAAGAGTTAGTTACATTATATTCTTACTCTTTTTCAAATTATAAAAATCCCTTAAATTTGGTGCAATTCGGATACATCTCAAAATGTCTTGATACATCGCGTCTCAGCTTTCGATACATCCTTCAATGTTCTGATACATTGTGTCTCGATTTCAAATACACCACTCAACGTTCCGATACATCCCGTACGTCCCGATACATCACGTAAAGTGATGTATAGAAGAATAGGAGAGAGTAAGAATTTTTGTATTTTTTTTCTAATGGTAGGAAATTTTAGATAATATGATAAAAATAAGTTGTGTATTTAGGTAATTTTTCTTATAAATACCCTTATTGTCAATTTTTTGGGTTGTGTATACCCTTAAAACTAATAGATGAACTAGATTTTCAATATGGGCTAACTCATCCCAACGGGGCTAACGCATAAAAGCTTTGAAATTTGACATGCTGGCCCATATTTTTTATTGGCCAAAAAATAGCTAGTCAAATCCACTAGTATGTGGGCTGCAGATCATGCCGGACCAGTCCACTCTTTTAAAAAGTATGTTTTTTATAATTTTTTTAAAAATAAATTATAATTTAAAAATATTAACATATATATGGATAAGACATCTTCATTTTCATCTAACAATTTATATGCAATATCAATTAGGTAAACATTAAAAAATAATTAAATTTAAGAACTACGTATAGTATTTAAATGTACACAAAAAATATTATAGGTCTGAGAAAAATCATGTAATCAATTTTGAGTAGCTACAAGTGTTTGAATATTTTCATGATGGATGCAATTTTTATACTTTGTGAGACCATGTCCACCAATGTTGAATGATGATTGTAATGATAACGGTAGTAATAGAAATACTAAGTACATCACGTCTGATGATTCTAAATTTTAATATTTCAAACTTTAAATAGTCTTTGAGTTTGGACTTTTGTTATTTTTAATATTTTATTTTATTTTAAAAAATTTAATTAGCTCACGGACCGGCCCAACATATATTGCTCAAACCCCATAGACCAGCAGGTTTATTCGGACAATCTAAAAAGACTTTTTCCTAATGGGCTTCATACATGTTAGCCAGCCTTGTTAAATCACGAATTACGTCGTTCCGATCCAATGGACCTAGCCCATATTGACGACTCTAAGATGAACACGTGGTTTCATCTAAAAGATTTACCAATTTTATTTATTTATCATCCAAATTTTAAAAACCCACCCCCTTTTCTATTTTAAACCTATCCGACCCACGACTAAAATGAAATAACTCTTCATCTTTTTGTTATGAAATCTCTTGCTGACAAAAAAAATATTTCATCATCAAGAATGAAATTAATGCATCCTCCCAAAAATTTCACTCATTTCAACAACAATTGATTGGAAGAATCTTTCCAACCTGGGATAAAATCAAAATTTATTTCAAAAATATTTATAACTCATGGTGTCATGATCAAATCAACCTTCAAATCACATATAAATGTATAACCCATGGATCATATACAAGCCTCAAGATTTCTACAAAATATAGATGTCTAAAAGCAAATGTGATCTTCCTTAAAGTTTCAGAAACTCTATCTGTAATAGTCAGTTTCAAGTATCTTCTTAGGTATTTCCTATGATAAAAATAACTATTGTTAAACATAAAGCTTAGTGGTGTAAAAACTACAAATTTGAAGCCATTAGATTCTCCAATATAATTTCCTCAAGTCATAGGCAGAATAATAAAAACCTAATAAATGAATCAAATAAGAATATATATATATATATATATATATATATATCAGAGTATCAAGTTTGATATTAAAAGATTAAAGTGTCAAGAAAGCTCATAAAACCATTTCACATGAGATCAAATAACAAGTCTAGCTCAATATATACATCATGTGTTGCCACACCAAGCATAATCAATTATCTAGATGGATCGAAGCCCTGTATCAAGAAGGATCAAAACCCAACAATCAAGAGAGCCAAGAATCATAATAAAAATGGCTTTCTAGTTCTTACTTAAAATAGACAACTTTCACACTTAAGACAGACCAAAAATTCAGAGTCAAGATAACAAAAAAATCTGATTCAAGAGGCATGTCAATAATGACAAAGTCATTGCCACAAGGAGGACAAATTCCCAACAACAATGCCAAGTGATCAATCAATTTGTACAAGTGGACAAGTTAAACAAGTGTCTTGCAAGTCTCAAAGGATACCAACACGACAATACAGAGTGACAAGAAATAACTAAAATACCAAAATAAATTTTCAGATATAGTAACAAGATTATAAGTACAAGTTTATACACAAACCTCTACCTTTTAGAAAACAAACTACCCAACACTATTTCAAGAGTCCAAACTGTAGACCAATTAACCAACGTGTCAAGTTTCTCAACTTGTATACAAATATATACAACCTTGAGAATACAATTAAATACCCTTTTTAATTTCTAATAGCTCCATCATGTTGACATAAAACTAGATTATCATCAAAAGTAAGTCTAGCCTGTGTAAACAACACTGTGCTTTCAAAACAGTAAATCTGACCAGTCTGGTATCTCATGTCATAACTTAGTTTTGAAAAGGCAAACTATAAAACTAGATTTTACGTCCCCATGAAAGATGTATGTATATGTCTTAAGGTTGAAAATAGTCAAGAATCACTGGAAAATATGTTTTGTACAAAAATATATAATCAAAACACTAATAGTTGAACATAGGAAATTTCTAAATCAGAAATCTAAACAGAACTTATCCTATAATGGGTCTTCTATTTCGAATTCATAATAGCATAATTAGATTTCAACATAAACATAAGAGACTTGTCCTATAATGGGTCTTCTATTTCGAATTCATAATAGCAAAATTAGATTTCAACATAAACATAAGAGACGCAGGTATACATGTTAGCTTTCCAAATCACATTTTTCATTGAAAACAAAGTTCTACACAACGAGATATACTAATAAATACTAAACACTGCACAATTCAAAAATAAATTTGATCACTTACCAAAAGATAAAGTGTGTCTTGAGTTTCAGCCAAAAGGAACAAGTTATTCATGCGATTTTGTGGAATTATATGTTTATGAGAGAGATCTCAAAGTTTCTTAGCATTAAGGGAAACAAATTCTATAGAGGAGGTGTGAAAATATGTCTTACAAAAGTGATACTTATCATTTAAAAAGGGTGGCTACCCAAAAAATGAAAAGTTGGTTGTCCAAAATATATACATATATACCTTTATATATATCTCACCTTCCTTTATCAAATTATAGGTAATTATAATTAGTGTTGCTCCCAATTGCACACGCAAGTGTACGTGGTCGCGCAAGTAATATAGTGGCCCTAAAAGAGTCGGATTATCGAATCCAAAGGACTTCTCAATTAATTATTCTTACTAAATTATGTTAATTCTAATTATTTATTTAAGGGGAGGATTTCATAAGATAAATATTAACTAAACTAAAAATAAAGATAAAATAACTAAAAAGCAATTAACTAAGAAAAGATGGATTTTTCACACAATCAATGAATGAATCGATCTAGGATTATAATTTAACTAACAATCATATTTAGCATCAATTTCATCAACTTATTTGATTATCTAGTTATTGATTCACGGGGTTGATAATATACCTCTAACTGTCTACCACAATTGATAGCCTAACTACATCGTTGAGCGGGGATAGACTGAACCAACTATGGAGCATTAAATTGTCTTCCCGTATTTGAATCAAGCAAGGCACCTAGGTATATCCCTATCCTAGACACAAATCAATTCAAGTGACATGCAAGAAAAGACCATGCTCCTTATATTCCACGTTTTATCCCTCTATTCCTCTCCTGAGTTCAAAAGAAGATAATAAATTTATTCTAATGGTGATCAAACATCAAAATAGTTATCACAAGAATATAAGAACAACTAATATGATAAACAAATCATGCCGAATTAAAATCACTAAACAATCATATTGTAAGTAAATATAATCCAAGAACGAGAAGTTTAACTCCACATAGACATAGAGCAATTACAACGAATCATTCAAATAAAAGATGTAAAATAAATAAAAGAGAAGAAAAAATAAAATTCTAAATCAAAAGTTAATTTCTATATTGTATTCTCCTCATTATTGTTATGGACTATTTATAGATGTAGAAAGCCCTGAATAAAATAATTGAATCCAAATCAAATTGGAACCCAAAAACCTTGACGGAATTGGATTCCTCGTGAAACTGTGCTTCGTCCGCTGCCTCACATAATTGGTTGATGCGTTCATTTTGTGATGAGAGGGAGTTGCTCGGATGGTAAGCACCCCTCACTTCCAGCTCGAAGGTTGCGAGTTCGAGTCACCAAGGGAGCAAAAGGGGTGGGAGCTCCTAGGGAGGGTAAAAAAATAAATAATAATAAAATAATAAAATAATAATAATAAAAAATAAATAAAATATATATATATATATATATATATTCAATATTATATCAAATTTAATTCATTAAGCTATCTGCTTGATTTTCTTCTTCAATCTTTCATCTTTAATTCTTTTTAGCTCCAAACTTCTTTATTTTTCCATCAATTTAATCCTACAAATAAAATGCACTATTATACACAATTCATAAAATCCATGCTCAAAAAGGATAAATATAAAAAATAAATGTGAGGCAAATAATGATTAAAAATATAAATTTTGGCCTCACATCAATTAGTAAATTA